GGAGAATTATCTCATTCATTTATTTGTTTGCTTTTTAATTAACTCTTTCCCAGGTAGAATACAATACCTTCTCTGTCTTTTTACTACTGCATCCCTAGCACCTAGAACAAAGGCACACACAGAGTAGGTGTTAAATATTTGATGAATAAATAATAACAAGGGGGCACCTGGGTGGCTCAGTCAGTTAAGCATCTGACTCTTGATTACGGCTCAGGTCATGATCTCACGGTTGCGAGATCAAGCCCCACATGGGACTCCATACTGGGCGTGGAACCTGCTTAAGATTTTCTCTCTCTCTCTCTCTCTGTCCCTCCTCCCCCCCCAAAAAAAATAAAAATTAATAATAAAAATAAGAAGAACAACACCTTAAATATTGTTCATGTGCCAGGTATCACTATAGTATTTCAAATATACTGACTTACTTAAACCTCACTACAGCAGCACCTGGGTGGCGCAGTTGGTTAGGCATCCAACTCTTGATCTTGGCTCAGGTTGGAATCTCACGGTTTGTTACATGGAGCTACCCCCACTCCCACCCCTACGGGGCTCTGTGCTGACAGCACAGACCCTGCTTAGGGTTCCCCCTCTGCCTCTCCCTCGCTCATGTGTGCATGTGCACACTCTCTCAAAATAAATGAACTTAAAAAAAAATTTTTTATAATGTTTATTATTATTTTTGAAAGAGAGACAGAGAGCAAGTAGGGGAGGGGCAGAGAGAGAGGGAAACATAGAATCGGAAGCAGGCTCCAGGCTCTGAGCTGTCAGCACAGAGCTCGACGCAGGACTCAAACCCACAGACCGCGAGATCATGACCTGAGCTGAAGTCAGCCGCTTAGCCAACTGAGACATCCAGGCACCCCTTCAAAATAAATAAACTTAAAAAAATAAACCCCACTATAACCCTAGGAGATATGCACTATCTCCTAGTGGAGATATAGGTCCACCATAAGCTGTATCTTATTATTCACATTATTACCTTTGAGGATGAGGCACAAACGTATTACGGTAACATGCCCAAGATCACACAGGTGGTGACAAAACTATAATCTGAATCCTACCACATATGAAGCATATTCTCTAAAGCTGTGCAGAGATATTAATGTTATCTAAGGATTTTAATGTCTGAAGCACCCAAGCTTACTATGTACCATATTCCTTATCCCCATCTTGTTATATGAGAAGCTCAGTGTAGACACAAAACATCTGTAATGAAATATCACTACATAATACGTGATAGTGGCAGCATGCAACATAATACAGGGGTGCATACCCAATTCAGCAATGTGTAAGAGTGTGTGCACACAGGAGGGAGGGCCACTGTATGATAAACAAGCCCACAGCTCTGCGAAGATTCTAGGAAGTGACAAAGGTTAACATGCAGCCCAGGCACAAGGAGAGGCTTGTGTAAAACCATGAGGATGAAAGGTACAGAAGAAAAGTTGGGGCTGGAGATATGGAGCTATGGAAATTTGGGGAGTAGCAGGAGATAGGGGTATGGAAAGGCAAACCAGAATGAGACTACAGGTTGCTTCTGAATGTCAGACCACTCCGTGGGCTGGAGGCTCCAACTCCCCAGTAAGGCAGGTCCAAGCAAGGAATTCAACCCAACATGATTCTACCAAAGGGGTGAGTAACCCCTGGACCTGAACTGAGTGCCCCACATCTCCCTCAGCCCAACTCACACACTCCTAAGGGCAGATAAAAGCTAGTCCCACATTGGGGCGTCTGGGTGGCTCAATCGGTTAAGTGTCCTCTTGGTTTCGGCTCAGATCATGATCTCACAGTTACACGAATTCGAGCCCCATGTCAGACTCTGCACTGAGCGTGGAGCCTGCGTGGGATTCTCTCTCCCCCCCTCTGCCCCTCCCCCACTCACACTGTCTGTGTCTCTCAAAATAAACAAACCTAAAAAAAGAAAAAAAAAAAAGAAAAAAGCTGGTTTCAGTATAGAAAGGTTCAGTCAGATGGAGAATGAAATGCATTACATCTGATCCTTTGTCAGACTGAGGTATGAGGAAGCTAACAAAGCAAGTTTATTCCTGATTTCTCTTTAACCATTCTTGTAGATGTATGGAGACATCTCCCTCTAATACTAAATAATGCTCCCCAATGCCAGAACATTATATTTTCCTAGGTCTTTCCTAGCTCTCATGAAGCCCCTTCTCTTACCTGTTCCTTCACAGGAGATACTACCCAAAGCTTAGGACTTAGTCTCTCATTTTTTCTCTTCATTCTCTAACTCAAATTTAATCATCAAATCTTTATTTCCAATCTTAACCCACCTCAGTCCCTATCATGCTGTCCACGTGTCCCTACTGAGTATTCGAAATGAGGCTAGTCTGAATTGAGATGTGTAAGTGTAAAATACACCCTTAAGTAATATATCTTAGTAATTTTATGTTATGATAGTATTGAAGTTACATTTATGTTGAAATGACTGTTTTAAATATGTTGGGTTAAATAAAAGACATTAATCAAATTTATTTCAACCTGTTTCTTTTTTCTTCAATGGACCCTCTAGAAAATTTTCAACTACATTATGTGGCTCTCACTATATTCCTATGGAGAGCATATCTACTAAAAGCTGTCTCGCGTGTGCAGCATGCTTAAAATTGGATCCACCACTAAGAAACTCTATGACATCGCTGTGCCTCAGTTTCTTCATCTATAATATGGAAATACTACTTGTAATAAATAGGATAACTGTAAAAATAAGAACTATACACATTTACTATATGCCAGGCACTGTAACTGTATGCCAGGCACTGTATATGCCAGGCATACTGTATATGCTCCTTTAAATCTTCACAACATCCCAGTGAGACCAACGCTTCCATTTTACAGGTGAGCACAGGGAAATCAAGTGACTAGCCAAAGGTTATGTGGTTAGTAAAGAGCAGAGCCCAGATTTGAGCCCAGGCAGCTTTAAATGACTATCTCTCATGATATCCACTTCAGAAATTTGCAAAAATTCAGTAAGTTAACTTAAGTAAGACATTTAAAACTGTATTGGGCACACAGTAAATTCTCCTTCAGTGTTTAACTTTTATCAGCATTACCCCAGCCTCCAGCCTACTTCCCAACTTCCCAGCACGGCACAACTTTTCTCCCCATTTCTCAAGATTAAAACCTCAGGATCCAACTTTTAACACGCCTCCCTCTTTCATTCCCTAATTCTAGTTAGTCAGTTCCTTCTTACTCTTCCTTGTGTGTTTTTAATGCACCTATTCTGCTATTCCCACAGGTGCTTTAACCCGGCCCTTTGCACCCTCGCATCGGATAAATCAATACCAAGAACAACTTAAACAGTGTTCATGTACCAGCACGCTCTAAATCTATTAGTTCATTTAGACCTCACTATAACCCTATCTGTTTTCTAAGACTTCCACATCTAGGCTCTAACAGTATCTAATTTCCTCAGTAGCCCAACTTTCCTGGAAATCCAATTTCATCATGCGATGGAAACTTTAAAGGAGTATGGGTTCTTCACACTTGTGTGTATCAGCTGACTTCAGTATGTGAAAGGAAAATATGACGGATGTTCTCTATCGGGGCAAAAAAAGACTTATAAGGCCCAGAAAATTAAAAATTCTAGCCTCACCAAAAATCTCCCAAGGAATCAAGTCTTAACTGAGCTAACATTAACAACTGCATAACCTAGCCCCACCCTACCCATTCAAACTTCTCTCCACTCCTCGGTAAAAATTCTCCAGAGTGGTTAAACAAGGTTTCCTTGTTTCTATAAAAAATAGTAGTATTATTAATTCTTATTTCCAGCCTTTATTCATACAGTTCCTCTCTGCCTCACAAATCTGGGCACATTTCTCCTCCATAAACTTTCCCCAAACATTTAGGATAAACTAATCTCCCTTCTAAACTGCGATAAAACATGTCTTGCACTAGTCACTGTGGTCTGAAATACTCATCACCTGGCAAATGCCACTTCCAGCCCCAACCAGGCCATGAGCACCTGGCCAGAAAGCATGGAGTCCCTCATTTTTCATCTTCTCCATCAGTGGCAAAGGTCTCTACAAAGAATGAACACCTATTTGGCAAACAGTTAAAAAATAAATTATGGACGGTGTAAATGAAATCATCTGTAAATACCCTAATTTAGCCAACCTTATTTCACGAACTGAAAAACACCATGAGGTACAAGAGCCACACCAAGTTACATGGAAGTGGTTTCACTGCGCTTTCAAATTCATTATCTTCTTTGCTCCTCGAAACAACCTAGAGAAGTGCACACTATTACACCCTTGTTAAGACAGCTATGGGTTAAAGAAATAGAATGTTTTTCCTCAAGTTCACTCAGCTACTAAATGGCAAAGCTGGAACCAGAGACCAGGCCAGTAGTCCAGTGCTCTTTCCAATGTTCTAATTCACCTTTTATTCCTTTCCCTCCTTATCACATAAGATTAAATAATTAAAAGAAGAAAGGAATCAGGTGAGAATCTTAAGTAACAACAGATATGATAAACTCACATCAAATGAATATTTGCCTGAAATGGCTTTTTTTTTTTAACTCATCAAGGTTAATGATGATTTACGAGGTTGCATTTAAAATTAAACCTCATGATCGGATTGTACTGTGAAATAAAAACCCATCTAAACTTAAAACCAGCGTCTTTCCTGACTCCAAAGTTGGACACCACCTCCCCCTCCCCCACCTCAATCTGCTCTATACTTACAATATCTTAAGGCTGTTTCTCATCAAAGAAATAAGGAAGGAAACAACCTCCTGAGGACACAGCACCTAACCATCAAATCCAGTTGGCAGTCCTTGCTAAACGTTATAAACCATTAGTCTACCCATACCTTACTGTCTCCAGGAATCGAGTCCTTAAAACTCCATGTTATTTGTCAAACATTCCGATTTAATACTGAGCCACAAAGAACCTCAGTTCAGAGCAGTCTCAACTCATGAATGGCCACATTGTTGGGTACTCTCCCTTCACACTGAAACTCGCAAATGGAAAGACGTGGCGATGGATCCAAACCTGGGATAAATGCACTGGCAGAGCCAAGGAAAACCACGAACGCAATGAAAATGCGCCCGCCTTCGCCTCCTCTGCAGACCTTCTGGCCACTCCAAGAGATGCGGGAAGCATCCCCTGTCGGGGGTGCACGCTTCCGTAGCCGTCAGCTCATTCCCGAAAGATTTTCTGCGAGGTCTCATCTGAGTCGAGGAGCACGGTAAGGGAGCATTCTTCCCACGAAGGGTGGGTCGGACCGCACACAGAGCCCAGCTCGAGACCCCCGCCGCGCCAGCCCGTCTGGCACCCCCCACCGCCCCAGCTGGAAGGCGCCGCGGGCCTCGGGTACCATCCCCCGAGCTCCAGGGAGGATGCAGAGGAGGCGGGAGGGAAGGAGCGGCTCCGGAACGAGCTGCAACCAGAGCCTCCTTCGCTTCTCTGCCCCGACTCACCCAGTTCTGCGCATTATTGCTCAGCTTGACTTTCTTGCACAGGCTCCCAGGTACCTCCATAGCTGCAGAGCGCGCGCGGGTGCCGGGATCCTAAAAGCCAGGAGAGTAGCCGGAGGAGAGGCCGACGGGGGCGGGGCGGGACGAAAAGGCGGGGCCTCCTTGCGCCCGAGTCGGCGCGCGCTTACGTACGCACGGGCTCGTGCTCGTACCTCCTACTGCGTGGCGCGTTGGTTGCGCCTCCGAAATGGATCTGGAGCAGAGGTATGTGGGGAGGGGCGAAGCGGCGGGCCAGAACCTTAGGCAGGAGCTGGGGGTGGGGCTTTGGCGCTCGCAACGGTGCGAGCGCGCACGACGCTCCTCCCTCTTGATTCTGAGGAAGGGGCGGGGCCTGGGAAGGTAGTCGTGGAAGTTTCCTGGCCTCTCCCGGGTTTGACGCCTTGTGCTGCGCAGGCGCTGAGGTTGGAGCCAAGTCCCAGGCGCGGGCCACCCACGGAAGGGCAAGGGAGGTTCTTGGCTCCCTGCAGCTGATGCTGGCTGGAAAGAGACATTGATGGAGTCTCCTGCCCCTCTGACTTTTCGTCCATAAGCGCGGCCACCAGTCTTCTGTCTGCCCATTCTGTATCCTTGTCACCCTGGCCACATTTAAAAAGGGATTTTCCAGCCTCGCAAAGGGAAGAAATGATTTACTGAACAGCTTATTTTCCACACGTTCCGCTTGGTGGCTTTAAAATTCTGCTCAACGCTTAACTTCAAGAAACAGTCAATGCCCCTTCCTTGGTCATCAATAATTAATATCTCGACTGGGATTAGCGGTCATCTGCAAGGTGCTTCCTTCCCCACTTGGAGACCTCGCTTCATATCAGGAGATTTCTGTCCAGTAATTCTCAACCGCTAGGCCAAAAGTGCCCCTATATTATTAGTTTTTCCGAAAAGTCTTAGAGGACTGAATTCCAGGCTTAGGGAGGGCTGCTGGTTACCAAAGGGTAGACTGCCCACCTGTGCAGGACATTCTCAAATTCACCTAATTATTATAGGACCAGTTCATAGGAAAATGGGGGGGGGGGAGGACTTCCTCCACGAGTTACTCCCCCCCCCCCATTCTAAGGGCTTTTCCAAAGCTTGCCGCAGGCACAGAAATAGTACTCTGCACCTGCCCCCTCCCACACGCTGCCCACCACATCATCTTCAATCACTAAGACCTGAGGGTACTGCTTCTCAACAACTAGCAAATCAGTCTATTTCCCCCACTGTTACTGTCGTTTGTTAGGCCTTCCCCCTATCCAAGATGAATCACAACTAATCCCCTTAACTGAGCACCCTCCACCTGTGCGGCTGCTGCTCCCACGCATGTTACTCCATTTTTGAATTGCTGTCAGAGTGGTACTTATAAAATTTTAAATCCAACCTTGTTTACTTGACCATATAAAATGTCAATTCATTGGTTCCCTGTAGCTTTTTCTAAGGGCTGTTTAATTTGAAGTCTGTATATAGAATTGAATTTCGATATAGTTCTCAATTCTCAAAGAGCGGGGCAGGGACAGAGACAGAAAATCTTAAAGCAGCCTCTGGGCTCACAGCGCATGCGGTACTCCAAATCCCTAAACCATGAGCTCATGACCTGAGACTGAGCCACTGAGGCGCCCCAGCCATTTCTTCAAGGAGTCCTAGGAAATGGTATTTAAAGGGAAATGGTATAAAGATATCACAGTCTGGGCTTTGAGTTGTACTCATTGCTTCTCAGTCCATATTTGTGAGCTTTTCCCAATGAAAGACATTTTTAGGGTTAAAATACATCATGACTTTATATTGATACTCTCAGTTCAAATTCATGATTCCAGACATCAGTCATGCAAATGAGCCTGCAACATCTTGTCAAACCAGAAACAAGGAAATCATCAAAAAACACTAGGATTGAACAAACAACAACAACAAAAAAACCCACTAGAATTATGTCAAAAGGACTCAGAAGCCAACTTTAAGAAGTTTTCTCCTGTCAAAGATGGTACAATTAGATTAGAGCGCTAAAGGGATAATAACTATAAGGTATTGAAATAAACCAAATATGTTTAAATGTCCGTGTTCATAATGATTATAATTAAAGACAACTCATTGCTACCCTTGGAGGATGCTAGTGAGTCAACTCATTATTTTGAAACTGGTAAATAAAAGGAAAGAATTTACCCTGCCTTCCCTGCACTAACTGTAAGTAAGGTAATGAAAAAAGTTGATGAGAGGAAGTTCTCTTTGTAGAAATACAGCTAACAGATGAAGGAAAGATGGAATTATAATATCACCATTTTGTACCTTCTAATGAAATAATGTATAAAGACAATGCTGCTCATGGCTGCTAACATCATGACAATAAAGGACATCAGAACTTTTTTGCCTCCTGATGACACTTTGCCTCCTGTGGTATTAATGCCCCTTACATTCAACCCTGATTCTAATCAAGCCTTCAGATCTGATTACCAGTTTACAGTTAATGCAGAGGAAAGATGTAAAATCACCATAAATGCAAGCAGCCAAATCCAAACTGTGGAAATCTCTACATAAGGACCTGATTCTTCAATAATTAAATTAAAAGGAGAAGGAAAAAAAAAAAACAAATGAAGAACTGAAGATTAAAAGAAAACTTGAGAGGTATTAAGCAATTGAACCATGTGAAACTTATTTCATGACTGACTCACATAGAGAAGAATTTTTAATGTACACAGCAATAGAGGAAATTTGAAGAGTACCTGGATTCTTGGTAGTAAAGAGTTACATTTTTTGGTGATAATAACATTGTTATATTTTTTAAGGGAGTAATTTTAGAGTTACATATTGAAGGATTTATCAGTGAAATGGCAATGCCACAAGTATTCAGAATTAAAATGAGGCTCTTGGAAATTAAAAACAAGATAACAGAAATGGAAGAAAAGGTGAAGATAGCTTCCAGAATGCAGAGCAAAATCCCCAAAAAATAGAAATAGAATTTTTAAAAGAATAGTCCAGGAAATCCAACATCCACATATTAGAAATTCCAGAAAGAGAAAAATCATAGGAGGAAATAACTAAGTAAATCATTAAACAAAATTTTCTAGAAGTGAAGGACTGGAGTCTTTCCCTGAATGTCCAGCTCAAAAGATAGAAATTGAATGTACAATGCATAGTACTGTTGCCTGGAAATCCTACAAACTTCGAAGGAGAAGGACAGTTCAAAAACAAAGAATCAGGAGTGAAAATGAATTGAAGGTACTAAGAAAAACACAGAGAGCTGGAAGATAAATAGAACAATACCTTCAGAGTTCCAAAAGAAAGGCATTTCCCACCTAGAATTTGGAATTATCATACACCCTTTCTCAAGGAAATATTGGAGGATGTGCTCCACCTAATGGAAAGAGGGCATTCAGAAAATAGATGTTTCCACACAGGAAACAGTCAAAAGGAATTCCCAGATTTATGGTGAAGGAAGATCTGAGAATGACTGCCATGTACCAGGTCTAGATGATAATTAGTCAGAAGGCTCTCCAAGAAGTCAGAAGGCCCTTGGAGAGCCTAGTTTAGGAAGATAAAATTAATATAGCATCTGATGGGAATGACCATACTGAAAATGATTCAGACAACTGACAAGGAGTTTGTGGTTGTATTAGTAATAACTGCTTAGAAAAGTAAGTCATCAAAAAGGAGAAATTTATCACAGCCTTTCTGTACAAACTGTATTTCAGAGTAATCAAATAGCTGATGAGGAAAGGTTCATACTGATAGAATTCTAGTTAATAAATGCAGAAGGAATGTTGGCATTTAAAAATCACCATTTTAAGCACCTGATGAGGCAATTAACATAGGCAATAATCATTAGTGTCTGCTAAAAGTATTAGGTGGAAGACAGTGTGATGGTTTATTTTGTGTGTCAACCCGAATGGGTTCACAGGGTGCCCAGATATTTGGTTAAACATTATTCTGGGTGACTCTGTGAGGTTACTGCTGGATGAGATTAACATTTGAATCAGTAGACTAAGTAGATTGCTGTCCATAAAGTGGGTGGGCCTCATCTAATCAGTTGAAGGCCTGATTAGACTAAAAAGATGACTCTTCTGCAAGTAAGAGGGAACTCCTGCCTTACTTCCTTGATTAAGACATTGGTCTTTTCCTGCCTTCAGATTCGAACTGAAACATTGGCTCTTGGGTCTCAAGCCTGCTATCCTTCAGACTGGAACTTATGCCATCAGCTCTTCTGATTCTCAGGCTTTGGGATTTGGAGTGGAACTATACCATCAGCTCTCCTGGATCTCCAGCTTGCTAACTGCAGATCTTAGGACTTCTCATCCTCCATGACCACGTGAGTCAATTCCTTATAGTAAATCTCTATCTATCTATACTATTGGTTCTGTTTGTCTGGAAAACCCTGACTAATACAGGCAGGAAAGGGAATTTTATAATGGAGGGATCAGGCTGGTACCATCTGCACCCACTTATCAATTTTAGCATCTTCTAAAACTGGGACACCAGACATCATGTACCTTAAAATGTGATATAACAGGAAATACTCAGCACTAATTATCTTAGTTTGTGTTGTTTAAGAAGCAGGACATGGAAAGAAGGATTTGAGTACACATTATTTATTTGGGAGGTGAGTCCAAGAAACACCATTGGTGAATGGGAACATGATACATGAAGGAAGTCAATAAAGCAGCCATTGTG